CTTCATCCTGTTCCCTACTTGTATGTCTCATAACAATAAAAATGCTTTCAAATGAGCTGATGTAGGTAACAGCTCTTAGCTTGTCAATAAAGTTAGGAATCCTTAACCTGTAAATAGCTTGTCAATAAAGCTAGGGATACCTTAAGTTTCATGCACTGTCAGCAAAGTGAGAGATGTTATGTTTTTCCTGTTAGAAAGCATCATAGAAAAACAATAACAACCAGCTAATCAAAAATAAGACAATAAAAGTCATCTCCCTTGAGGATGTAAGAGACGTGAGAGTGAAGGAATAAAGCACTAATTTTTAAAGCAGTTTATTCCAAAGATGTTGAGCGTCACAATGGCGAATGATAACAATGAATTAGACGCAGGACTCACCAAACTGTAACAATACGATTGCAAACAAACCACGGTATGGGTTTACCTGGAATTTACCTGGAGAGGGTTTTGGGGGTCAACGCCCCCGCGGCTCGGTCTGAGACCAGGCCTCATGGTGGATCAGGGTCTGATCAACCAGGCTGTTACTGCTGGCCGATCGCAAGCTGACGTATGAGCCACAGCCCGGTTGGTAAGTTGCTGACTTTAGGTGTCTGTCCAGTGCCTTCATGAAGACAGTCAGGGGTCTATTGGTAATCCCCCTTATGTATGCTGGGAGGCAGTTGAACAGTCTTGGGTCCCGGACACTTATTGTGTCTCTCAGTGTACTCGTGGCGCCCCTGCTTTTCCTCGGGGGAATGTTGCATCTCCTGCCGAGTCCTTTGCTTTCATTGGGAGTGATTTTTCGTGTGCAGATTTGGTTAGAATCCGTGGCAAGTGATTTTTACGACTCACTTGCCATTGGTTCTAACATCACCTGTACTGTGGTTTAATTAGACGCAGTTAAGCCAAATAACTTGTGTCTTCCTGCCAATCAACACGAGCTAATGCTGGAGGACGGTAGTCAGGTGTCGAGGCGAGTAATAAGGTACTACAATGCTTATTTAGTATTCCTTCCCGTAATGGAAACATAAACACATATGCAGTTAAATGTGATCCTTTATTGACAACGTTTCGCCCACACAGTGGGCTTTTTCAAGTCACAAACAGATCTGTTTGTGTCTTGAAAAAGCCCACTGTGTGGGCGGAACGTTGTCAATAAAGGATCACATTTAACTGCATATGTGTTTATGTTTCCATTGTGTCGGTATTTTATACCATTTATTTTCATTCCTTCCCGTAACTTAAAAGGCAGTCTCACAACATCAACACTGTCTCCTCATTTAAGTATAGTTGAGGCTATAGAGAGGCTCTCAGATCCATTCGCTCTTGGTTGACCTGACCCAAGAATTAAGGACCGAGGAAGAAAAAAAACAGTAAAAGAGATGAAGATACATAAACTGGAAAGTGACATTATTCCGAAGTCAAGGAACTAGTGAAATGGAGCAGTCTTACCCAGAAAAATTACAGAGATTCCAGTCTTTATTAAGGAATAGGAAAAAAATTTAAAATATACGTAACCAGATATCTGTAGGATAATGCTCATGTGATTTGAGTGAACGGAGGAAAGTGGTTTTTATGCCTTGATGTGCTGTTGGAGTATGAGCAAGGGAAATCGGACTTGGAAGTGGTGGCCCGTAGCCTGGTGGCTGAAGCTCTCGCTCCACACGGCGAGGGTAGAAACATTCAATTCAAGTTTATTCTCTATAAGGGTTACAATGTGGGGTTTACAGGTTTTGGGCATTGTGTGGTTTACATGTTATAAATTACTAATTACAGAGGGGGCCACTAGGACACCTAGCATGGCTAGGCATTTTGGGCAGACTTAGATTAATTCTTAACATTAAATCCTTACAGATTATAGTATTAAGGCTAAGTGACATCATAATTTGTGAGTTTAGCAATGTGAATGCTTTTGTTTTGGCACAATAAAAAGAGCCTATATTGGAGTATCATAGGCAAACTTATGACTAGTTAGGATTTATTATTTTAAGATTAAGATTAGTATTTCTGGGTTTATAGTCAGTGGGTGAGTGAGTGTAATTGTGAGCCACCAGGTGGTTATCATGTAGTTAGTTGACAGGGTGAATCAGGGAGATAAGATGTTTTCCAACTGTAGTTTTGAAAGTGATGAATGTGTCTGCAGTTCTAGAGTTTTCAGGTAGGGTGTTCCAGATTTTAGGTCCTTTGAAATACATTGAATTTTTGTAAGGGTTTAGTCGAACACGGGGAATGTCATAGAGATGTTTGTGTCTGGTGTTATGCCTGTGGATCCTGTCACAACTATCAAGAAAGTGTTTTAGGTCAAGGTTAATATTGGAATTTAAGGTCTTGTAGATGTAGATTGCACAGTAGTAAGTGTGGATGTACTGAACAGGGAGTAAGTTTAGATCTATGAAGAGTGGGGGGTGTGTTGCCAGGGATGGGATTTAGTGATTATTCTTACTGCGGCTTTTTGTTGGGTTATTATTGGCTTTAGGTGTGTTGCTGCAGTTGAACTCCAAGCACAGATAGCATAGGTGAG